AAAATCACTGGCAGAATATTTATTGTTTTTAATGAAAATAAATTTCATCAATAATTTTTTTTAAATGTAAGTATTTTTTGTAAATGTAAGTATTTTTTTGGTATATTTGTTTTATTTTATAGATGTAAGTACATTTTTGTTCAAGAACTTAACCAGTGCAAAATGTACCCCATTTCTAGATCTAAACCAGAGCTTGGTGCATAATGTTTTTTCTGTATTATGAATGTCAAATGAATGCGCCTATCAATATACATGGTAATTTTTATAATTGAATCAAGAACCATATGATAATCCATCAAGTCTTACAGTCATAGTTCATTTGATATTCTTGAGCCAAGTGTTTCAAGAACATCAATATGTAGCCATCTCTGCTTTCCTTTGGCTTTCGCTTCTCCAACAGTTTTAATGAGTTAACTACAGAGAACAAAAACAGTTGCCCAAAAACCCATCAACAAAGACATCAAATATAATTAAAAAGACAAATTTTAGTGAAAGAAGAATATTCTTACATAAAGCTACAATACAAAATGCGGCAAAATTCTGATTGAGATTGACCTTTTTAATCAACCATAGATTAAAATCTATTCTACTCTGAGAAAATAAAAATTCCTCCAACATATATAAATTTGTGATGTATAAAATCCAAATATTTTATATTAATATATTATTGAAGAATTGCAGATAAACCCACATAGAATTTATTCATGAACCAGAAAAGAAATGATCTTACAACCAGAGTAAATGCTTGTCTTCTTCAACTTACAAATGAATTTGACTCTGATCCAAAATCTTAAGCACCATGAACTTTAGTTAAGAAGAGGCAGTAGAAAAAGAATTCTCCATGGGAATCCTACATGAAAGAAATCAACAATATCCCAAAATGTACCATAAAAAAAAGGAAAAAAAAAGGATAAACCTTTCTTTTTTCTTCTGGAAAAAAAAGACACCGTTAGCAGCAAAAATCTGTTTCAAAGAAGGTAAACATTCTATTGCAGGTGCACCCAAAACCTAAAATCAAAGAAAAAGAAGAAAAAAGCACATGATGATGGTGAATCGATTTGATAATTGGTACCTGATAATGGTGATGATTGATACGAAAAGGACTGCGATGAAATGATTTGGTTGAAACCTTTGGTAGAGAGTTATTATCCAGTCTTCGGTCGAATTTTGTAGAGACGAAAATCGCATCTGTTGGAGGGAAGAGATGAAAGAGGTGTTTGGAGAGATAAACATGTTCTTTGTTATGAATTTGAATTTGAATTGAAATCCAAATCAAGAATATAAAGGAGTTGACGGAGATATGATAGCAAATAGAAGGTGTATTTTTGGGTTTAGGGTTTAGATAAGGAAGTTAATTTTTTTATTTAATAATATAATTTTTTATAGAGATAATAATCAAGTATTCTGTTATAATATAGTGATTATCTTAATTATATTTTAGATTTTTTATATTTAAAATAAAATATTTATCCGGTATTTGATCATGTTTATCTGCAGTTAGTTACACGAATTCAAGCATGAAGCTTTAATAAGTTGTACTTATGCATTATTTACTTGTAATCTTGAATTTTAAGTAATATGCATCAATTAATACTACTTTATGCATATTGGAGATCAGAAGTGAACAAGAAATAACACCCCCACAGTTTAAATTACTCTCCCTCCTTGTTACTTCCTTTTAACCTTTAAAATCCGAGTCAAAATCTACCACTCACAAGTATAAGCATCATAAATCATTAAAAAATTGGGAAGTGAACTCTTGATAGAGAAAACAACGAGGGAACAATTGTACATCCTACAGCAACAAGCAAGAACATGGTAAACATTTAGCCAAGGATAAAGATAATGTAAAAGAAACAGAAAACATATACCTCAATATTCTGATGTAAAGACACAATAACCTGAGAAATTAAAAAGAAAAATTAGTTGTTAACCAATCCAAAATCCATCCAAATGCAATCTGTTGTGTTCAATTAGAAACTACATAAATTAAATTAAACAGAAATAGAAAACGACTATGAACCTGTAAACTGCAATCTTTTCCAATCACTGCGATTACGAACGAATTCCTCAATTGTGCCCGCACCAGATCTCTCTTCAATGGTACGAATTAGGGTGTCCTGAATCTGTTCTTGTACAAAGAAGTTGGCTAAAGAAAAAAGGAATAGATTACCTCCTCTAATTCTGGATTGACGCTAATGGATTGAAAATATGTCAAATATATATGCATATCTAAATTCTGTTGGAGTCGATTATCTCAATCGTAATCTGGAACCGTTGAAATCTAATCTGGAACCGATGAAATCGGATAGGGATGAAATCGTTTAGGGAGGGAATTGGGTTTCTGTTGGCGATGAAATAGGATAGGGATGAAATCAGATAGGGATGGCTTTGTCTTTAAGAGTTTTAAGAGTTTTAGCCAAATGCTTTATAAGATAGTATAGATATATATATATATATATATATATATATAT